AAAGGCATATATTGTCTGAACAACTGTGTGAATCTCGCAAGTGTATTAAATATGGTTTTAAAAAAGGCTCAGTAGGGTTGGCTGGGAAAGTCAATGTAACATGCACTGTATATGAAAAGAAAAGGACTACATGTCATTGTGCAAACAAAGACAAAGAAAACTATGCTCAAACCAGAACAAGAGCAAGAAACTTGAAAGACCTGTTTTCATAAGAATATATCAGGCTTTAACAACTTCATATTTAGGTCATGACCAGAGAGAGGAGACAGTTCCCTTCAACACGGACCCCCTCTAATGAAAATCTGTATGGACAGAAGTAATCCTGCTGGACAATCCTTCATTATGAGCTGCTGCACTCACCTTGACCTTATTGGGGTTATAAGAAGAAGACAGTGACAGCATAGATAATGTTCCAGTGTGTGTGCATGTGTGTGTGATAACCTATTCACCTGGACGTTTTTGAAACCTGATGTTTTTGGGTATCTGACAGGAGGATTAACATTAACAACATGATCTCTGTTCTCTGTTAAAATGTTAAACACAAATATGGCAATAAAATCTATACAAAGTTTAAGAGTTTCTAAAGTTGTAATTCATTTTCTTTTATGACAAATTGAGTAGATTTTGGTTAAGTCCTTTAATAAGCACAATGTGAAAGGAGTAAATGTCCAACAAACCTTAGCGAACATGACTTGGATGCAAGTGGACCAAAGTGTGCTCTATGTCTAGCGTTTCAGACTTTGAATTCTGTTTGGCTGGGTTACTAATTCTCAAAAAAGATGTGGAGTACCAGAAAGGCCTGGTAAGGGTCAAGTTATCACTCTCTATTTGATATATTTTCTGGTCGTCCAGAAATACCACAAAAATCATTCATAAGTGGTTACTTTTTCAAGAGATTATAAATAAGTCCAAGGGTCTAACCTGCACTCACCTCAGAGAAGCTCACTAACAGGGACATACACATAGAGAATGGTTTATATGTGTGTTAGCATACTTTATGTTAAGATCTGTATGAGTTTTCACTGTTTTATTTTGTAATCTCAAGAGCTGTCATTGATTTCCTGTTTTATTTTTGAAAAGTGTTAACCCCTTGTGTTATGTATGTTGTTACTTCCTGTCTCTGTGTTTGATTACCTGATTGTGTTCACCTGGTGCCACTTTGTTTCATCCCCCCTCGTCAGCTGTGTCTTGTCTTGTGATTAGTTTTGTGTCTATATAGTCCTGTCTTCCCTAGTGTTCTTTGTTGGTTAGTCGTCGTTATTCCGATGAATGTTCCCGTCTGTTTTCCCTATGACCCTACCTCGTGCTCCCCGGTTTGTACATGTTTAGTTTTTCTTTGTTTTTCTTATCAGCTTTTTGAAAATGTAAGCCCGTTTGTGGTTAAGATGTATCTTATTTTTACAGCTCTTGGGTCCGCCTTCCTGCCTAACCGTGACAATATAGTATTGTATTATAGGTTTTAAAGATGCAAAAATGGTAAGAAAAAATAAAACTCTCCCGCTTTTACATTAAATGATACTAACTGCAACCAGTCACCACAGACAGTGTTGACGCTTTGGCAGGCTTTTTAAGGTACTTGGGCGTTTAAACATTGTTTGCATTAAAGCGCCATAACCGAAAATGAGAAATCGTTTTTTATAAGCCTAAAACAATTGTTATCAATATTTTAGCGTAGATTATACATTTAACTGACACCAACTATATAATATGTACCTTGTTCATTAAAAAATGTGTATACAATTAGTACAATTTTAAATATTTTTGAATGACAATCTAAAATGCGGGAAGCGGTGGGGTGGCGCCCCTGCTTTTAAGTTATACTGAACAGGACACGTGAGGGTTGTGTGCCACAGCAGCATAAGCTGTATGGCTATTTATATAGAAGTTAAAGGAACAGTGTGTACGATTTTGGTGCCTTTAGCATTGCAGATGAACTAACTAATGGCGCATTTCCACTGCAGGGCCTCGCAAGGCTTAGTACGGTATACTGTAGTTAGGCCTTCGTAGGCCAGACTCACTTTATGCTGCGTTTCCATTACAGTTTAGCTGGGGCAGTAACTATAGTAACGCAGTGTAGGCAGAGCCGTGATGTCATCTTCAATGCGAACCACAAAACCAACACCAGCCGTTAGCTGTTAGCACTCAGAGCTCACAGCTCCTCATATCTGTTCAGAAACTAGACAAAAGTTAAACAAGTACAAACCACAGACTGTCTGTGTCATGGCGAATACAGTCGCTGGTTTATTTATGTCTGTAGGCCGTTGTTGTGAGTGTGGACGGTCGGAGCATATACAACGTTAGATTAGCCAATCTCCATTCAGAAAACACGCATTTTAAAAGGTTTTTCGCCTGCCGTCTTGTCAAAGCATTAATTCATGGTTTTTACTAACCGGTATCAGTATGTTGTTACTTCGGCATCATTTTGTTGTAGTTGTAGCCCTCTTGCCAGCGATTCTCTCTGACCATTCAGCAGTCGAGAGTGTTTACGTCACTAGTTTAGCATATTCAGCCCGGTTGTTGGCCCGGTAAGAACCTTGATTTTGGAGGGCCAGAACAAAGGTGAAAAAGTAGCCCTGAGCTGGAAATACCCCGAGTGGAAAAGCAAAAAAAAACGGGCACGCTTAAAACACGCTGCAGTGGAAATGCGCCATAATACACCCAACATTCACCTTTCCCTTTACAAGAATGTGGTGAGGACCATTCAGGTGGCAGTTTTCTGAGCGTGTCAAATAATGATGGTATAAATATATACAAAAGACCCTACCTACAACGAGAGTTTGATTTGTCTGTTCTGAGCTAGAATGGACTCCATAGAAGAGGACCCACTCACTTTAGATAAAAAGGGCTAATTTTAAGGTAACAAAACACAATGTTTCTTAGTTTCAGGTGATTAAGTAAAACAAACATATCTGCTAAAAGATGTCCCGAAATACTACACACTGGTGCTTTTTAAATACTAAAACATATTCCTAGATGTTCTTGGGACTAGGCACCCTTCAGATTCCAAGTAGTGCTTATTTTTTAAACGTGTTGTCTCTTAATCTGAGAAGGTCATCTCAGACAAAGGGGCGTTGACGCTCCTCTTGTTTCAGAAGGAGGTCATTAAAGACGTAATACATGATGAAACAATTCCCAGTGTCACTTGCCTCATGAGCTGTAATAATATACTAACTTTTCAAAAGCTTTGTAAACCAAGTAAAAAAACAATTATTTACTGTTTTAAAAGCTTCACCCTCTCATGTATGTCAAATAAAAGAGTACAAAATAAAAGAGTACAAAATGTACAATCTATGCATTTAGTTTTTTTAAATAACTTTAGTAGACAGTTTTTGGGTCATATAAACGATACATTTGATGTTTTTTCTGCTGTTGGTATTAACCCTCTTCTGTATGGGCATTTAATGAAGTGAAGAGCAGAACACTTGTTAAGCAAAAGTCCTGAGAGATCATTTGAAAGTAACCCTAGGGAATACTTAAAAAGGAAGAACAATTCAGTGCTTGTCTTGGCACAATGGGAAGTGTTTTGAACTTGGGCTAAACTGCCTGTGGGGGGAAGGAAGAAGCCCTGCATCTGTATTCAGCATGCAGGCCATGCATACAAACATTCCTTCCTTTGGCTCGCTGCTTTACAACAACCTAATCCTTAGCGGTTTCTCTTTGTCTGGCCTTGCCTAAACTCTCCCTTTACGTTCTTTATTTTCTCTGACATTTTCTATTGTGCCAGTTCCTTAAAATCTAGGCTTATTAATATCCACTTACTGCAATTGAAAGAAAATAGGAATAGGCACGGCATCATTTCAACCAGTGTGGTGCAATTCAGGCACAAGCTGCAGCACTATAACCAAATCTATGGATATGAGTCTGTTTTTCGAAGCCTTTCTTCTAATCTTGTCAGGAAATGTTTTTTAAAAATAAATCCACACCTGTTCCGTACAACTGGAATATTTTTGCATATATTGACGTCATGATTGCAAAAATTGACATCATAATTGTAAATGGATTAAAGCCCAAAGTGTGACGCAGAGGACAATTTCCATGATGCTCAGCTTGGATTTCTGCCATTGCCAGTCACATGACAGAAATCTCTTTCTCTCCTTCCCGTCTCTCACCTGTTGAACATGTTAGCAGCAGTGTTTGCAACACAGTCTGCAGCTTCTGTAGGAATTGTCTTTCACTGCCTACCTCTGGCCAAACTGAGGAAAAACACCGTCCTGATGGCTTTTTCCAGTAAATCACAAAATCAACAGGATAGCTCTCTCTTGTGGTGCTATTATGACATGGCACTATTTTCAGTAATTAACTGCTCCTGCTCTGACTCATGGAATACACATAAGAAGGAAAAAAAGCTTTTTTACGAGTGTTATGGCTCCAGTGGCACATGGCTGTGCTATTCTGCGGAGCTGGGAAGATAGTGTAGTACCTGTGTATGATGTGTGTGACGCTGCAAACAGTTCATTGGTACGGTGGCCGACAGGTGCAAACACGTTACAACGGCCCAAAACATTTAAATTAGGAGAAAAAAGTAGCATTTTTTTTTTTTTAAACGATGCAAATAAAAAAACATCTTCACCATCCTGCCAAAACATGTGCAGCGGTCAAGGTGTGTTTAGGGTTTTTACATTTTTCCGATTGATTTTGGAACATGTGCTTGGAAAAAATATATACATGTACTGTGTTTAAGTATTTAAAGTTCTGTAATGTTATAAAGTTATGTTATACTTTGTTTTCAAGGACGGTCATTTCAGAATAGTTTAACAAGTTTCTTCAATGAAAAAGGGACCAATTATTTGGGAATCAGAAACCGTGGTGTAAACAAATTGGGTTTTCCCTATAGACTGCATAAAAAAGGATTCCCTAAATCCCATAGCTTTTTTCTGAATAGTATTTATTGTGTGTTGTGATTTATTCATGTGTTTTGCCTCATGTTGTTGTGCTTTGCCCCTTAAAGCCACCGTATATCTGCTATATTTGATGCAACAAAAGCCCAGATAAACACGCAGCAAACAAAACATCCCTCTTTATGTTTCAGTCATATCTTCCAGAGATACAAAATCATACATTTAGAAAACGTATATTACAAGCACAATAATAACCACAGAATATATTGTACAAAAGGCACATGCTTTAGAGTCACTGAATGTCTGAACACTTAACAGTAATCACATCATCTTTCCTACAATAAGTGCCATGTGACTGGAACGTTGAAGTCATGCTGGTCAAGAGAAATGTGACCAGATGGAGGAAATATCAGTAAAGAACATTGCGTGACTGTGTCCAGACATCATCTCAGTCCCACACTTATATCTCTGTGCAGTCATACATGCTTACATCTTTATCAGTCAGTATCACACCAATTGTCCTCAACACTGACATCTTTTTCTGCATGCACATCTGTTTCCTTAGCGGTTGTGTTTTTTTCATTCTGAATATCAGAATCTGTGTTTTGTGCGTTTATGTGTGTTGTGATGTCACTTGTTGGATCTTCAGGTGTTTGGCTAGGCATGAAGTGGTCAGTATCAAAGTCTTTCCCATCTGTTTGATTCCTGTTAGTTTGTAGAGTGTCAGAGGAGCTGCTGGAGTCTGAGATCTGCTCCTTTGCTGTATCAAAGGACTCCGTAAGAATACTGTCACTGTACGACTGACTGCCGATTGTTTCTTTCTCAGACCCGAAGGCATTCATTAAAAGGCTTCCCGAATCAATGCTGTGTTCTATTTTCCCATTAGTGTCCGAACATCTATCCTCTGTGTCTCCATGGATTGTACAAGTTCTTGGAAAGGAGTTATCTTCACATTTTTCCGGTGTAGACATGATAATGCTGTTTCTCTTCACAGAACTTTCTGTATGTTCCTTATCAGCATTGGCCTCTTCTTCGTTTTCTCTACCAGACTGTGTCTCTGCGTCCTCCATGTTTTTCTCAGCAGCGCCGTCCTCTCCTGCCAGAACTCTCTTCAGACTCTGTGCTCTGTCTCTGTAAACTTGGCACAGCTGAGCGTCGGGCATGTGGTTGCAGTGGATCTCTGCCAGCTTCATGTACACCACATACAGAGCCTCGGGGTTAGCTTGGTCCTCCAGCGCCGCCGCCAGAGCCAACTGGAAGTAGCCCACCGCGTCAAAAGAATCCTGGAGAGATACATAGGTCAGATTTAATCCAAATGAACATCAGCTGTTTAAATTAAAGTTAAGAACAGTGTTTTCGTATTTTGTTTGTTGATCAAAGAAAGGAAAGGGCATGAAAGCATGGAGAAGTACAGAGAAGTATTGTAGATTTAAATTGGTCTGTTGTATCTATAAATCTAAGCAGATTTCAGAAACATAATGTGGATATTTGCTCATGAATTGCAAACACAGAAATATAACCATCTCCTGTACCTTCAGTTTGTGTAGTGTCAGATTGCCAAGTCTGCAGTAAATATTTGTAAAGTAGCGAGCCTCCTTAGGGTCCTGCATGACGGGTGGACAGAAGGACAGGGACTTGAGGTAGTAGTTTTCTGCCATCTCATACTGCTGCAGGCTGTAGTAGACTGTAGCCAGCCGGTGGTAGGCTGTCCTCTCATGCAGATGCACACCTGAGGAAAAACATATATGGTGTCTGTTAGGAAGTAGTTCAAAAGCTACACCATGGTTATTGAAGCAGGCTGAAGAATCTTTCCTTCTGACAATACTCATGAGGACAGATTGTACTATAGGCCATACTTTTTATATTACCATATTTTATTCAATATGCTCCTTAGATTTATTTTATTTGTTTTTATTATTTTCTCCTTGTAACTTTGTGAAGCACCTTGAGATGACGTTGTTTTTAAAGTGTGCTATATAAATCAAATGTATTATTATTATACTCTGTACCTGTTTTGCTGGCGACCTCCACAGCCAGCGTAGCGTACTGCAGAGCCTCCTCCTGCTCGCCCTGGTTCATTAACAGCTCTGTGAGTTTACTCAACAAACAGAACTCTGAGTGGATGTCCTTAATGCTGCGTGCAAAGGGCAGGCCGCCATCCTGAAACCAAACACTTTGTTAAATGAGCTCAGCGCCGGCCAAGACTTGAAATATAATTTTGTAGAATAGAAATAAACTCAAACGGAAAAACTGCATCATGACATTGCGTTGTATTTGTTCCTACCCTGTAGAAAGGCAGTGAAGCCATTCTGTTCCTGGTGCCTTTAAAGTAGACGTCTCCTGCCTCCTCGTAGATGCTCATGGCAAAGTGATGATCATTCATCCTCAGGGCTGTCTTCACTGCTGCCTATATATGAGAGTAGAAGGTGAAACTAAGCTCCTTGTAATGTAAAGATTGTTAAGGAAGTTAACACTTTTTATTCAGAAGCCCTGATAAGCAAGTGGAAAAAAGAACTTTCTGGGAAACCATTTTCTTAAGTCTGATCCAAACCGTTTTCTCATCTTTGTTTAAAAAAAGCATTACAACAGCAAACACTTAGAGATATTGTCCTGACAATCTTTTTTTACAATTTACATTAGACTCAGATAAAAACAGAAATCTTATTTCTTACTTGCCTCTCAGATCTTCTGTACATTTTTAAATGATCTCCACCACATATGTAACATATTCTCTCCTCCTCACCTGCAGGTACATATCAGCTAGCTCGTCCTCGTGGATGAGATAATAGATGCGTCCCACCTGCAGCCAGGTCTCTGACTCTTCCTCTCTCTTGCCCAAATCGATAGAAATCCTCAGGCTCTGCTTGGTGCAGTCCAGGGATTTACGTGATGATCTACAAACCAGAATTAAGACTGTTTTAGCCAACAACCAAACATGGAAAAGATGGTTTGACGATAAGATTGTATGGTAAAGGGAGGCACACACTCACCTTTCAGTGTTGAGGGAGAGGTAGAGGCTGCTGAGGATTTCCAGATACTCCCCCTCTAGTCTCTTTTCCTTCAGCTCTCTGGAGACCGACACACAGTGCTCATAGTAGACGATACTCTGGCCGTACAGCAGCATGTCGGCGTACAGCCGACTCAGCACCTTGGCCACCACCATCTGACCTATGAGAGAACACAACAAAGAATTTAAAACAAACTCATGGCTGATATGAATAGTGAATTTTATATTATCACAAGAAATGGCAAGATTCTATAAACAAAGTATTGCCATTGTATAATTTGTCCACCAGGGGATAGAAAAGCTTCAATTGTAAAAGTATTTACTGTATACGAAAGACAGTTAGCTTAGCTAACTTATCTTAGAAAAACGTCTGGAAACAAGGAGTCATTGTGTTTTTGATAACTTAGATTGAGCTTCCGGGAGTCACTGCCATGTTTCTACAGTAGCCCAGAAGTGACAAACTAAACACTGCTCTGGAAAGGGCCTGTCGCATATTTAAATTAAGTAAACAGCTACATCCTAGCTCATAAAGGGAATGCTGAGCGGAGGGGTATCCTTTTGGTTTCATCTTCACCGCTAGATGCCACTAAATCCTAAATACTGGTTATTACACTTTTGTATGTTTTAAATATACAAAATACATTACATTATTGGTAATCTTTAGAGGGACTGGCAAGCAGACATATTTATGTGTTAACTTGTACTCACTGTGTAAGTTTCTGGCATGAAGTGCAATTAGTAGCCCCATTTCATAACACGCCCTGCTGTCCTGACTCTTCTTCCTGTCTCTGTAGCTCCGCCCCAGCCAAAGGTAGGTCTGAACATGCTCCTCGTCTGTGGGGCTTTCCCAAAGCTCCAGAAAAAGACGCAAGGATCTGGAAATACAATCACCATAACAATAAATACCTCTCTGTAAGCTCTTGCTTGTGTTGAGTTCCCAGGAAGACGTAAACAATGATATCTGACCTGACCAAGAAGCGTTCCGCCACCAAAGATGCCCCCACATCCAGTGCCAGGCAGCCCAGGTTGGCCAGTGCCAGCGCCTGGTTCCTCTGGTTTCCACTTTCTCTTGAGATGACCAATGCAGAGTAGAGATGCCAGCCTGCCTCTGGGATGCAATCCTGCCGCCTCAGACACAAAGCCAAGAGGTTGTGGATCACTCCTCGCTGCGTGGGACTGTCTGTACCCTACAGAGATAACACACAGAAGAAGAGGTTAAACCTTTCTACAAAAGCTGATGCACATTAATCCATGTGGACAGTTTTCTGTACCTGGAGGGATGTGAGCAGGGGCTGTAGGACATTCTGGGCCTTCTCGGCCTGGCCCGTCAACACCAACAACCACCCAAGCATCACGGAGGCTTCAAAGCCCTCCTCCTCATTGATGTGACCTCCTGTCTCCACAGCTTGTTGAGCACAGCGCACCGCCTTATCAAGAGCATCATACTGCTGGTAGACTGTGGCCAAGCCCTGACACAGGTCCCTCTGGGTCTTCAGGTCCTCCTCTTGCTCAGCAATAATCAGGGCCTGCTGGAGGTAAATCACAATCTGCGCAGGGAGCAGGGAAGTTCCCTCCTTCCAGCAAGGGTTCAGGCGAACAGAGTTCCTGATAAACAACTCAATCTTCTGGAAAGCATCGCCAAGGGAGTGGTCTTGTCTTGAGTCCAGGCTCAGGGAAGCCAGCGCTAAGTAAGGCATGTATTTACGATTATAGAGCCAACTCAAGAGCCAGTTGAGGTCCAAAGGCGCTATAGGACGACCCTCTGTGGTAGAAAGAGTCACAGAGAGAAACTGGAGTCGCTCAACGAAGGGAAGGGCATCGTCAGTCTTCCTGAGAAGTAAGAAGAGGCTAGAGAGGAGGTAGCAAACGCGAGCCTCCAGGTGTTTGTCCCCCATCACCACTGATCTCCTCAAGAGCAGGTGAAGAAGTTCTGCTTCGTCCGTAGAGGTGAAGGTGTGGCAGGGGAGACAGAGGAGCAGGGCACTGGCCTTCTCCAGAGTCTGGGGCAGTTTGTCAGTCATACGCTGCTTCAGGTAGACAGAGGTGAGGTTGGTGAAGAGTGCGATAAGGAACGGTGTGTCTGAGAAACTGTCCACTCGAACACTGAGAGCCTCCTCGTAGTACACACGGGCCTGAAGCGAGGAACACACATGAATGTAAGAGCTTTATTCAGACAGATTCATTGAGGTTTGAGGAGTCCTCAGCAAGTAAAATGACAGCATACACTTTTAACCTTTCAGTAATAGGAGACATGAAGAACCCACCTGGGAGAACTTCAGCTTCCTGGCACAGAGTCTTCCCAGGAGAAAGCATGCCCGTCGATGTGCCCAGTGCAAGCCCAACCTCTTGGCACACTCCCTGACACTCTCTAGATAACCCGGTAGTTCGTCCTCAGTCTTACCACCAAAGGTCACCCAAAGGAAGGAATACTGCAGGTCGTACAGAGGCAGGAAGTCCTCCTGCAAGAAATAACAAGCAAGGAATTACAAAGAGTAAATCATGCTGTATGTTTTTGGTAAAAGAGTTAAAGGGAAAGACACAAAGGACACAAGAAACTCATAGTGTAAAATACTGTAACAGATCAACTGATGCTGGAGGAACATCATAATACCCAGCAGACCATGGGCTTAAAACAACTGCAAAGTCATGAGGTGCGCAAAATCAGAGCCACTGTGAGGATTGGGATTTTTACTCTACAAACCTGGAAGTGTTCATGGTTGAGCAGGGTCAATGTGGGGTCACTGAACTCAGAGTCCTCCCCCTCCCAGCTGTTCTCCTCCACGAAGAGAGGCGGGTCTTCCCTGTACTCGTCCAGTTCTCTGAACGTGTCGACCAGAGTGAAGGACAGGCGCTCCCCCTCTCGTGGCAGAGGATTGTGGGACTGATAGATAGACAGGCGAGGGGAGGAGTGGGAGAGGGAGGTGCGAGGAGAGGAATGGTACGGGGGTGTCCCTCCACTTTTCTCTGACATTACGCTCTGACGGGCGCCCGCAGAAACCTTATGATCTTTGAAGAAAACAAGACAACAAATTAAAACATTATTTTTCCAAGTCTTCTTAGTGCATTAGGCTTTAAAAGCTAGTCATTTTCTCATCAAAACTTTAAGACATTACCATGTTTTGGTCGGTTCCTAATGTACGTGAAGTCCGTTTCATCCAGTCTGTCTGAAAACATACAAGGTAAATAAATTTAAGCAACAATTTTTCAGTCAGGATAGAGAATAAAAAATGTTTACCCAGAATGAATCGCTGACAGTTTTACTTTAAAAAAAAAAGGAAACCGCAGTTTCAATAATAACATAACCAAATATGACCAGCTGCAGATGGGGTATTCAGGTCTTTTAATTGAGTACATGCATACATTTAATGTATGTAAGTATAATTAGCAAAATTAAGTTAAAGAACTAAAAGTAATAAAAGGCAGAAAAATATCCCATGCGACTGTAATATATGATATCATTAGTTTTTTATAACTTATGCATTTGTGTAAAATCAGGATGTTGTAGTTGGTTGAGGTGCAGCTAATTTATGAATTATTATCAATTGACTGTGTTTTCTAAACATTCAAAAAGTTATGAGAAAGGACATCAGCCTGAGAACGACACCTTTCCAAAAAACCTTTTTAAAGCAAAGAATCCTTTTAATCCCTTTAAAACAACCCACACTTATCAAAAGCTTTTCAATCAGTCAAAATATTGATTTGTAAATTAACTTAAGCTGTCAGATAAATGTAGTCAAGTAAAGGTAGAAAGTACATTTAAATAACATCAAATACAAATGAAGTACCGGACTTGAGTAACTCCACTAACTGACTTTTCTACACTTAACATGACACTTAATTGGTGGCACAACCCCTCCCTTAACCCCCGTTGCTCCTTTACCTAGCCTGTACACAGAGCTGATGTCAGTGGAGAAGAGTCTTTCCAGCAGGCTGCTGTCCCCCGCCTCAGAGCTGCAGGGCTTAACCTGAGCCAGACTGGCCCGCTCCTCCTCCGTCAGAAAGACCAACCGTCTGTCTCTATGCGAGGGAAACAAAGGCAGCATTATCACTTCTGCTGTCTCCTCCGCAGACTCACCCCATCCACTCAGTCTGACTGCAGATACACTAAATAGGATTTCATAAAACATGATGACATGTATAGCCGCATGTCATCATTTCAGCGCTGGTTGTCTTGGTGGTGCCCAGCAAACAATGTGGGCTTCGTGAATAATTGGACAGCCTTCTGGGGAAAACCTGGTCTGATTAAGAGAGACGGCATTCATCCTACTTTGGAAGGTGCAAATCTCATTTCGGCAAACATTTCAGGGCTTTGTGGACTTAATCCATGACAAACTGGAGTTGAGACCAGGAGGCAGAGTCGCAGTCTTACACGCTTCTCTGCGCTCTCTCCTAGGCAGTCATCCAAAGGAATCCCGAACCCAATAAAATACCCAATATTAACGGTGTGTGTGTCTGCCCAAGGACAATTTAAGGTAAAACCTAATAGAGGTGTCATACATAATAACCTAATAAAAGTAAATGTAACAACTACTACAGTGCAACAAAACAGGAAGATTAAATGTGGTCTCTTAAACATAAGATCTCTAGCATCTAAAGCAATACTGGTAAATGATTTAATATCAGATTATAATATTGATATATGCTGTCTCACTGAAACTTGGTTGAGACATGAAGAATATGTCAGCATAAATGAGGCCACTCCACCCAGCCATATCAATACTCATATTGCCCGAGGCACGGGCCGAGGAGGTGGAGTTGCAGCAATCTTTGACTC